TAATGCATATACATATGTATGTTTGTATGTATGTAGTAGAGAAAAAAGCAAGTAGCAAGACTTAGTTGACTGCACTCTTCTAATCGCTCGACAACAAAAATAAAAAAAAAATGTTCAGAAAATAAAAATAAAACAGCAAATTTAATGACATTTTTATGCTGTCTGTTGCAGGCAACTGCGGATGCCACTGACATTGTCGCTGAACGCGCAAAGCCACTGACATCTTAGGTGCTGCTACAATCTTTGCCATACCGTTGGGGTCTAAAGCGACTGCTCCTGACACGTAGCGAAGCGAATGTTTGTAGGAGATAAATGATCGACTTTTGTCTTCGAGAGAGTAACGTACATACATACATACCACACATACATGCATATAGGTGTATGTGTCTATGTATGAGTATGCGCGTTGGAAATTTGAGCAGACAAGTGTTACGGCATGTTTGGTGCATAAGTAACGGCAAACTCCAAACCTAAATAAATGTGCATGCAACTGCAATAATACAAGTAACAAACTGCATACATACTTATATAAATACATACATACATATACATACATGCATACATATTATGTGAATATATATATGTATATGTATATAGTTCTCTACAAAATACATAAATATAAACGCGAGTACAACAAACTAGCGTTAAATATTGCATCGCTTGGTCTAATGGTTAATATCGATACAAACATACACACATACACACTTATATGTGTGTACATATATGTATAAATTGTTTTTGCAGCAGCTGAGCGCCAAATGTGTGCAGTACATACTTTTGCGGCGCCTACCGTTTTACTCAATCTCCTACTAAGTGGCCGCTCTGCGACCGTATGATGCTCATATGTGCTAACACGTAAACACATATATACATACACATATATGTGTTTTCTATACTGCGTTTATTATTATTATTATTGCTTTTGTTGTTGTACCGCTATACTGCCGATTTCATACTTGTATCTGGTACTGATCGTATTCTTTTCCCTCTCTATGTATACTAATTTCGTACGAATGTAGAGCATTTTCGTTTTGTGCCATGTTTCGAAATTTACAGGAGTTATTTTTAGAAGAAAATTTCTGACTATTCAACGCGACGAACGAATGAAATGAATATTTTATACGAGTTTTGTATCGGCATGCATGCACGTAGGCATACATATATGTATCTACTTATATATGTACTTGCGTATGTACACTATATTATATTTCAATAAATATAATTCTGCTTGACTGGAAGGCAACCAATAATGCAGCTTTGACTTGTTTCCACGTGAGTTTATAGTGTTTGAGATGAGCCATTATTCGAAAATCTGTGAAAAATATAGATGCGAAAAAACTCATGGATTGTTGGAAGTGAACACAGAACACCTATATACATATATCTCTATGTATATATAACAAAATCCCAGAAAGCAGCCGTCAAAGCCAAGTCTTTCAAATAAAATTCAATTATTTGTCATCGTAATTACTTTGCATATCTAGTTGGAATCTTTAATAGTTTCGCTTAAGCTTGTTTGGAACAAAAGCAACTGCGCCGCCGTTCCCAACACAGTCGGGTTTTCACAACCGAAACGAACACGAACTTATAAACAAAAACAATAAGTGTAGTTAGCAAACGACTATGAATTAAAATACTCGAAATATATTATAGTTACCGTAGCAAAGTGCAGTTATATTATTATTATGTCTATATATCCATTACACAACAAGAAAAATCGAAACTTTGGCTGCACCGCAGCTATAATACCCTTCACAGCTCTATTTTTTATAGCATACAAAGGTATAACAGATCTCTATCTTAATTTCGATCGATCAATTTGTATAGCAGCTATATGCTATAGATAGTTATCCGATCTGAACAATTTGTTTGGAGAATGTAGCGTTGCTTTGTACAAGAATTTTTGCCAAATTTCGTGATAATATATTGCCAAATAAACAAGTTTTACATACACGGACTTGAGTTTGAACTATGAATTTGTATGGCAGCTATAAGCTCTAGTGATTCGACATCGGCGGTTCCGACAAATGTGTAGCTTCTTGGGGACAAAAGCTCGCGTAAAAAATTAGATAGATACCTCAAAAGCTGAGCGACTGGTCCGAGAACATACAAGCAGACGGACGGCTGTTCCCATAACTGAGTATTATTTTCGACAGTTATAAATAAAATCGGCTTACCGGATTTGTTGAAAAATCAGCGCTCGAAACTTGCATACACAATTTTGCCGCCGTCTACTTGGATTTAGATTAGAAATGTGCCACAATAGTATTACTAAATTGCCTTAACTTTCCACTGTATTCCCAAGCTATCGTATCTGAAAGAGCTTAGAAAAGTCGGTACAAATGTCTAGCTGTACTAAGAAAATAATGCTCAATTTAAAGTGAAAAAACCTGGCGAAAAGTATGCCCCTCTCTAATATGTGCTGCTTGTTACTGAGATCCGAGAGCTGAAGTCCGGGTTGTTGCCTTAAGACTTGCCTAATCAATCATAGATATCACCTTCCAAATAATTATAATTTTTTTTTAAACTCACTACGCCTACGCTCAATCTTTTCAACATTCTTGCCGAACTGCCACAACCACAGCACTTAATTTTTGATTATGTAAGCCTGCATTGCCGTCATTAAGCAGGTGAAAGGCCGAAGCTTATGAATAAATAACACCTTTGTTGCGTCCTTTGTTCCCATTGGCCTTCCAGCGATAAAGTAAATGCTAAAAATATTTAAATTCATGCATATTTTAAACCTTACGTCTGCCAAAAACTGACAGACTAATAAACGGTCGACGTTGAGGGGCGATGGGGACGAAACTGGGTTACATGTAACCAATTACCAGCTAGCTACACACACGCAGTCGCCAACTTGGCTTAGCTTGGCAGCCGAACAAGTACAATAATATGGCCAACAGGTTTTGTTTTGTCTAATAAAATGTGTGTCGACATGTTGCCATACAGGATTATAAAGTACACGCACACACCGACACTGGCACAGTGTGCAACAAAAGACGCCGGGACAATTGGCTCAAGTGAAATGGCGGCGGATAAGTCTTGTTGCTTAGGTGTAAAATATGTGGCTGACGTTTCATATTAGTCTGCGACAGCACCGTAAGTCGCTGTGAGTTGTGTGATGAGGTGAGTTCAAATGAGGATAAAGCGAACGAGTGCAAGCGCTAACACGCACTACACTAACGAACGCATACACTTGCACTCAAGTTGAATGTAAGTCAAACGAACGGCGCGCAAATAAAAACAGGTGGCAACTGCAGCACTTTGTATTAGTTAATACAATGTCAAAGGTGAGGCGCTTGGTAAGCTGCAACATGTACATATGATTTGTAGAACAGCTACCGTTATGTGCGTAATTAGTTGTGTGTGCTCGCAGGTGAGTATGTGGATAACAGGTGTTTACGCTGGGAGGAGCGAGTGCGGCTAGCGGCTAGCGTGTATAGCGCGTACGAAGGGATGAATGAATGAAAGCTTTCTGGCCGAACGCACGAATGCCAAATAGATGCGTACATATACAGTTATCGGTAACGTATAATGTAGAATAAAAGCTAGTTGGTATATTTTCGAGCATATAAGAGTTTAATAGCAACGTAAGAAAAGCAGAGAGCCAAATATGTACATTATGTTAATGAACATTTGCTTGAGGGTTAGTGCGGGGTTGCCAATGTGCATAAAGTACTGAAAGGATTTGTGATAAGCAGTTGTGGACGTTCGAAAAGTCCAACCCGATGTTAGAAAGGTGAATTGCATGAATATAAATATTTTTGCCTGCTTTATACCCACCACTGCTATACCGAGCAATTAGCGTATATTGAGCGCCAAGAGGATCAACAGATAGTGGAAAAAATGTGAGTTTCTCAAAAATGAATACAGCTAACTCAGTTACAGATATCGTACCCAGCATACAAACCATACAAGTTTTAACCACAATTTCAGCAAGAAAGACGAGCACGAAGGAGAGTTATGGCTTGTTGTAGTCCTAACAAAAACTTAAGAGTTCGGATTTAGAGATGTTGGATGTGGGTTTGGTGGAAGCTAATACTTATCACATAGTACACATCAATGCTTCAATACAAGTTTTATAGTAGTCCTCAAAACTTTACGACTCATCGTATTTTATTCTATGCTCTAAACGCTTAGAAACCAAAATGAAATAAGCTTTCATCGTAAAAGCTCACAATTTAACTTTCTGTGACTTTAATAATCCTTGATTCATATCGTTGATTCATTTTGAACATTTTGCATACGCTTGTTCCCGAAGTCAATCTCCTGGGGGACCTCCCAATTAAGGTGTCTGGCGGCATTTTTCTGCTTAAAATTATCTCACAGCCAAATACCAAAAAAAAAATTGTTTTTAAAGTAGAAGAATACAGATAATGATAGCAGCACTAGTCAACATTTTAATTTCTTGACAAAATGGCTTAGCAAAAAATGGCAATTCAAAATGGCAATTCAAAATGGCTTAAAAAATCGTTATTATTATTCAAAATTTTATTCCTTTGATCATTACCTGATCACCGTAGAAATTTGCCTCACCGATTCTGATAACAGCGTTTTCGGTAAAATGTGTTAGAAGTGTTGGGAGCGATTACACTAATTTAAACAACTCTTACAAATACGCTTATATCTTCAAAACTATATAAAAAAATATATTTCTTTAAATTAACAAGTGGATATAAGCTTTTAAACCAAAATCGCTGAGGTGGTACATATTTATACTTGTTGAAGCCAAAATTTCGTAATAACAATATGGCAATATACAAGCAGTATTCATATTGAGTGCGGTAAATGCTAGAGAGAGTGCGAAAGTTTGAGAAGTTAGACACATGTTAGTGATTAACTTAAATACGAAGCTTTTCACACACACACACATACACAATCTTACATACAACACACACTTTTCGATATGCTTGCGTAGCGTAAGGAAGAGGAAGGAAATGACAGTGCAGCATACCAAGTACAACAAACGGAAATGGAACACAATGTCAAAGCGACATTGGCGGATACAATGAAGTCGAAACGATACACGCAGGCAGAGTGAAATGGCAACTTGAGTAGACAAGAAAAGGGATGACAGTTGCGGATAAGTAAAGTGAAAGCAAAATCTCACTGCTCAAAGCGAGAACGAAAAATTTTATATAAAGTGTAAGGTAAAGTAACCGATGTGCATACAAAATTTCTTTAAACTAGCGCTTGTTTGAACCTAATATACCGATGTTAAATATAATATAAGTTGCAATTAAGGCTCATAAAATATGGCGCATGCAAGCAACTGACTGCTCATTTACTACATACACACATATACATATATTAAAGCGCATACATATGTATGTGCTTTTGTTTTTGTTGTGGCGCGTATATAAGGCTCGAGTACTTCGTCGTTTCAGTTCGGCTGTCAAAAGGCAAAAGTGCGTGTGTCAAACGTCTGGCAGGATACGTTGGAGCTTTTGCCAAAGTCGAGCAAGGACTCTTTAGAGAGTTAACTGAGCGGCTCAGTTGTACGTTTGTAGAGAAAAGAGAGCGCATAGTGTGTCTTTGTGTACTTGTGTGTGTACGTGAAGTTTTCGACATATACACAACGGTAAATTGCAATCATTCATGGCGACCGTTCAGTCAGTGCGCTAATAGACACCAAGCAAAAGGCCAGATTTGACAACGATCAATTCACACATTCGAGTTGTTGGAAAATAGAGAAACAGCAGACACTAGAAACGGTTAGACAATTAGCTGGTGTATACGGTATGCGAGAGTGTGTATTTTTTTTGGGGTATTTCTCGCGTTTTAAACGACGCTACGAAAAAGTGAAAATTTAATGAAATAAAAATATATTTTATTATAAATATAGTTTTCCATACGATTTAATTCGAAATGTTTTTTTTGTATATTATTCCGCTTGCAACGCTGGTCGATTGCAAAGTGCCGCCCCCGCCTTAATCTGTACACACCACATACATATTTATAAGAGTAACAGTAAAAAAGTAGAAAGGAAGCGAAGTTGCGCGACAGACACAGCACCAACATTGCAGCAGTGTGATTGCCGAGTGGTTGGCGGAACGAAATCGAAGTCAGACGAAATTCGTGAAAAAAGTTAAATGTAGTGAAAGTGAAGGTGAACGCAGCAGTGCCAGTGGACAGAAGGCATTCACAAAACAAATAAAAAAAAAACATACAAAATAAAAAATAAACTACACGCGCAGGCATAAAGGACGAACAAGGTGTAATAAAAAAATGAAAAACGCATAAAAGTGAAAAAGTATTTAGTATTATATACACACATATGTATGTACATATATTGAAGAAGTTAAATAGTACGAAATTAATGGCGGTAGGTGGTTGATGGTGCACGACGATACTAGTTGGTTGTTGCGGAAGTATGCAAATTTATATAAAAGAAAGAAAAGAAAGCAAAAAGCAAGTTTGGGCAACTCAATTTTTTAATGTTAAGCGTTTTGTAATAAAAATGCAGACAAAGTTTTGTACATATAGGTGAAGAAGAATTAAATCAATGCAGGAATAAGAAATAATATTATCAATATAAAATATTGAAACATATAATAAAATATATGTATATATAAATTACATATAATAGTCTGACAATAAAAATAGGCATGAAATAAAAAATATGTTACTCAAAACTAACAAATAGTAAGAAAAGTCATAAATGTTTCCAATAAAAAATTTTAGGTTAAAAATAAAAAATTATAAAAATTAAAAAAGTATTAAATAAAAAAATATTAAATAAAAATTCAACTCGAAACAACTGTAACGAAAAATAAAGTAGAACGAACGTGTAACTCCTATTAAAATAACTTTTTAAAATTTAATAAAAATAAGTAAAAGTATAAAAAAGAATTAAGGCGTAAAAATGCATTAAAATGTGAATTTTGTACATACCGTATTTGCGTAATGCTACTGAAATAAAAAATAATATAAATTTTAAAATAGTAAAAAATTAAGTATTAAATTAAAAAAAAAATTAAAATTGTCAAATAGTATGAAAATTCTTAAATGTTTAAATAATAAATTTTTGGCACAACTAACAACTAAAAAATAATATAAATTTTATAATAATAAAAAATTTAGCATTTTAAAAATTATTCAAAATTTCCAAATAGTATGAAAATTTATAGATGTTAAAAATATTAATTTTTGTAAGACTGTTTGTGAACATTTTTTTTTAATAAAAACTATAAAACTAATTAAAAGAAAATTATAATAAAAATCAAGAATTTATTAAAATATAATAATTCAACTACGGCTATAACTAAAAAAAAAAATAACACGATGGGTTATAATTGAAAAACAAAAATAACATAATAAAATACAAAAAAATTAATTATATAATAATAAAAAACTTGGTCAAATAAATAGTAATAACAAATAACTATAAATAAAATGGAGAACAAACATTTGAATTAAAAAAAAAATACAATAAATAAATGTACGTAGAAAAATAAATTCACCACTTGGGTAGGCTGCTTATTTGTCGAAAGCGCCGATATCAGACCACTATAGCATATAGCTTTTTTATTTAACAATATGTCTGCACGAAACTTGACATTAGGGTGGAGCGGTGGAGTTTTTTTTGCTTAGCCTGAGGGTAAAATCTGTAGATTATAAAAAAATAAAATTTTTGGACAAAAAATAAAATTTTTTTTTTAACATCGAGGGACTTAAACTCTTTACATTTATATACAAATTAACGCTTAAGGAAAGCATGTTGTCGTTCAAGACTTTTTTTAAAACTCAAATGATGACCACAAAATATTTTTTTTTAAATTGATAACTTTTAATTGGCCAGAAAGAGCCCAGCTTCTAGAACACAAATCAAAAACTTTTTAGGAAATAAAAGTTTTAACTGGAAACTTTACTTTTAAACTGAGCTTCTAGATGTTAAGAAAAAATGTTGGTAAAATTAAAAAAAAATTTTTTTTGGTAATATTTTTGGAAAATTTCTCTAAAATGGTCTACAAATTTTACCCTCAGGCTGAGAAAAAAAAAATTTTTTTTTTATGAATTCGGTGTTACCAAAAATAACGTTTTTTTTATTTTCATGCTATTTTAAAATAATCTTAAAAATTTTATCATCTAAAGATCACTTACATAAAAAATTTAAATTTAAAATTGTAAAATTTTCAATTTTGTTTCCGGTGTAATATTAACCCAGGACCTACCAGAGCATGCCACACACTTTACATACTTGCCCAACGCTACAAGTACAAAAAAAAAATGTCTATATAAATAAAAAAAAACATTGATATAAAGTTAAAAGATGAAAAAATAAAATAAAATAATAATAAACAAATAATATTAATAGAAAAAAATGATATTACTAGAAAATTAAAAGAAGCACAATTTTCGTTTTGCCAATTTAGAAAAATTATGCAACTGTAGTGTCTGCCGCAAATATAGATTCGCCCAATAAGAAACTAACCTAAATAAAGTGAAATAAAATTAAACAATTAACGCCCATAAAGTGACTGTTTCGCCATTTCACAGTATTTTAGCAATTTAATTTCATTTTAAATTGTCTCTGTGTGTATGTAAGTCAAGCACGGGGGCGATTTTTCATGTCAATACCACGTTTCTCATTTTACATGCAGACGGACACAGAACACAGGAAAGAAAATAGCAAAATTGTCATTGGGAATGGACGTCGAAATGTGAAATGATTAATTTAAGGCTCAAAAAAGCCAACGAATGCTATAACCGAAACCATAACAACAACAATAACAACAATAACAAATACAACACCAAGAATCGCTGCAGTAGTCGAAACAAGAGTAGCAACAACAACAGCAACACTAAGCAACAACAAATCCAACATCGTTGTCATTGTCACTGTCGCTGTCATCGCTACTGCCGTCGACGCAGTCACAGCTGTAGTCATCGTCGTCTTCGTAGTAGTGTTGGCCCAAGTGCTGGTGGAGAACTGTTGAATACGGCCAATGACGTCGCCAGCTGCACATAAAATCAATTGAAGGCACACACACGCGCGCACATATACACGCCAACAGGCCAGGCATTGACGGGTGGAAGGAAGCCGGTCCCAACTGTTAAGGACGTACAGCGCAGGCGGCGAAGCTGCAAACGAAACGCCCAGCAAGACAGGCAGGATATTGCAAGAACATACCTATATAATAGCAAAGCCAGTGCTGCAGACCACAGAAGCAGTTGAGTAGGTGGCAGTGATAAAATAGCGCAAAGCAGCTGTAGGTGAAGCGGAGCATAGAGCGGCATTTGTGGCAGTAGCTGTAACAGCAGTGAAAGCAATTCGAAAGTGTAGGAAAAGTCGTAAAAATACCAACGTGAAAATAGCGCAAAAGCTGGTGACTTGCTGTAAGACCCGCAAGCTACAGCGCGCACCACTATTGTGGAGACGATTGTGGTGGCAAATCGCGAAACGCAAGAACAAAAGCATAACAACAGCAACAACAAGGCGGAGGCAGCGTCGGCCGTGTTAACTGCAGCAGCCACAGCGCGATAAAGCAATAAAAGCGCATACCGACAGACCACAAGCGCAACAATGAAGCCATCGGATTTGCTGCAATTAACGGAAAGGGTAAATAACAACTTTACTTAGATTTTTATAGAGAGAATATTTGCATTGCCTAGACTGCGTACTGTGTGTTATTTTTAAAGATATCAACTACAATGTGTTAGAATGAATGAATGTAAGAGAAAATTTTATTTTCTTTCTTTTCGTTGGTAAAAGAAATTTTAGCGAAATTAATAGGCACCAATAGGCTGTTATATATATTGCCCCGCCTACAAATTTGTATTGATTAACCATAAAACTGGTTATTTTTTAGCTAATAATGGTGCCCGTACACCATCTTAAGTGTTTTTCTTAAATTTTATAAATTTTTAAAGCTTCTCGTTTTTTCATTTGCAGGCATTGGCCTGTAATCCGAATTTCTATAATTTTATAGATATATATGTATATATACATATATACTTGTGTATGTATATATATTTTTGTGTTAATTATCTATACGTTTGTGGTATTAATTGTCAAAAAGGCTTAAGCTTTTAGTTCCTTTTAAGCCTAAGATAATGACACTTTTCCCATAATAATTGCATCCCGAAAATAAATCGTAGCATACATTTAGGCTAGCAGAAGAAACCCATGTAGAAGATAATTATACTCTGTACAGCATATATTAAGCTTGCGACCATCTTTGTAACACTTAGAGGATACATCGGCGGCCCTATAAAATATATAGAAATAATCAGCGTGGTGAGCCGCTCGATTTAGCCACCGTTTCCACGACAGACGAGTCTAAGTAACCGAAACGGACACGGACTTTTATCCGACCAAGGACTGTCAGCTCGGCACCATACCTCGAAATATAGTAATGTTTTCTGCCGCTTCAACAACAACAACATCGATTTAGCCTTCTGCTTCTGAATATATGCGAACTAGTCCCTCAGTTTTTGAGATATCGTTCCGAAATTTTGCACAAGTCATTTTCTCCCGAAGTAAGTTCTATTTGTCGGAATCGCCGTTATCGGACCACTATAGCATATAGCTGCCATAGAAACTAATCAGTCAAAATCAAATCTCTGAATGAAAAATTATTTAATTTGACAAAATTTTTTCATAAAATTTGGAAAGGACTATTTTCCAAGGCAGTGCTACAACTTCCGAAGAAATTGTTCAGATTAGATCACTTAGTTTATAGCTGCTATAGGAACTGAACGATCACAATCGAGTCCTTCTATAGAAAACTTTTTTATTTGAACAATTGTCTTCACCAAATTTGACATGGATTATTGTCCCTAAAATCTACGAACAAATTGTTTAATTCGGACCACTACAGCATATAGCTTATAATAGCTTTGGTGCAGCCGAAGTTAACATTTTTTTCATATATTTCACTTTTAATTTCTCTCTCTCTCTTTCTTTTAATTAATATTTTCTTTATGTTTCATTTTCTTATTCTGTATGTTTCTTTTATTGACAGTAAAAACGGGCTTAGCTAAAATTCCATAACAAGCGCGGCAGGTCTATTTGATTTCAGCACTTTTTCAGCTTAAAAGACTGTCAGCAGAATACAGTATTGAAAACCGAAGGCCTGAAAAGCTTGCTTGGAAAGTTTCCATGGAGATTGTCAGATTAGCATGCTCTGATTAATATTTCGTCTGAAAAAATATGCTATTTTCTAAAAGTTATAGCAATTGAAACATAAAATGTACTCGTAGCATACATTTTAGATAGAAAGTTGAAGCATAGATTTAGGCTAACAGAAGAACAGTTTTGAATAAATGTCTTGATAGAAAGTTGAAGCATACATACATTAGGCTAACAGAAGAATGGTTTTGAATGAATATATAGACAGAAAGTTCTAAAAGTGCAACATAAAAAAATATGAGAAATTTACTTAAAATGACAGGTTTCGACTATTGAAAGAGAAAGCTATGTACTCTATCTTGCAGTTACTCATGCTTTATTTATATTGTAACTGCGCTGCTCTGTACCTCTCATAGTTATGAAATTTCCAATTGGTATGATAACACTTTCAGAAAATCAGCAATCAGCCAATAAACATCTTATCAGAGAAGATCACAAAAACAATTTAAAGCCTTTCAGGCAGTACCTCAGTGTGACCTCTTTGTTTAACACTTAGACGAACTAATAATCTCCGTTGCGGTAACTGAAAAGCGCTTATAGCGGTGACTCTCATTAATATTTATAACCAAAACTTTAAGCTAAGAGCATAGTGTAGCTAACTGCAGAGGTGTTAGAAAAATATAAAGCGGCAAATAAATGAAATATTTTTAAAGATCTTTTTTACCCACTCTTCTGTATACGAGTATATATTATATATATGTATGTATATATAAAATGACAACTGCCGTAATGATAAAAAAATTCTATGAGCTAACTAAACTCCGATTGGCTTGATTTCTTTTCTTCACTTCAAAATTAATACTGAACCGGTATAAATTCATGATGAATTAAATAATTATGGAAAAAGAAAATTTTCAGAATTTTTAATTACAAATAATATGCATACTTTAATTAAATATTGAAATAATATTATATTTATATACATGAAACATATTACAGCAATAAAAACAAAATTGATTTCCACAAAACTCAATGGCATGCAAATATTTACTTGCGCACACACATGTACTCGTACATGCATAGAACCTTCATATGTAAATAATACGAGGAAAAATAAATTTAACTGTGAATCACTTTCTGTTATGCGTCTGTCGGTCATTCAAGTCATTCAAGCTGTACAAGTCACTCGCTGTCCCTTAAAGTCATTTATTCGGCACAATACGCATGGCAACTCGTATACATACATATATGTACGTACACATTTGCACACATTTATGACATTTTCCACATTTCAACGCAGTGATAAGTTTTCCCCAACGATCCCAAGTGCGCTCATCACCAACACAACACCAATTGGGCGAGAGGGTTCTTAGCGAGTGGGCCAACATGGCGTATACGTTACATTTACAAATTGTGCGTTCACACCATGCTGCCGTTGCGGTTTTTTCGGTTAAAGTGTGACAACACAGGAGCCAGCAGTAACAAACATCAGCATGCGCACCCACTCACACACACGCACACATATTCAGCAATAAAAACGTGTATATTCCTATATATATTAGGGGATTGTTGTTTACACATGTGTCTGTGTGTGTGTGCGTGTGTGATACGAATCCTTGCTGTTCGATTGCGTATAGCTATAATGAAACTTCAGCGCTTCTACACACGCACACGCACGAGCAGCTTGTTTCGGCTTTCTGTCTTTGTTAAGATAATGTCCTTTTGAATGCACAATCATGTTGGGCACAATAACAACAAGGCATGCGAATTGCTACAAAATTAACAGGATGAATGATGTGGGAGAAGTGATATATGCATACATAGACCGTTATGTGTGCAAAGTTGTAAAAGCATACATATGTCCGCGTTTTACACTTTATTGTAATTTTTCTCGTCATTGTCGTCCCTTTTCGCCAGCTTTTTTAATGTGAGGATAAGCAAGGTCTGCGCAACATATTGTCAGCTTTTCTTTTCGCAACAGCTGCTGACGCATGATGGTTCAGTTCATATTTTTGCGTAATAAATGTGACTATTACATAAAGAATGGCAACACTTTTCGCCCAAAACTGTATAAAATTGCAAATTGAAATGCAATGAAACGCAGAAAAGTGTCTACACCTTCCTCAAAGGTATATAAAATGTTAGCTATTTAACAGCTTGTACCAAAATCGCTTTAAATATTTTCCTTTGGTAGTATGGCAACCCTTTAACGCACTTTTTTTTGCAAATATTATTATTTTATAAGTAAGTCATTAGGATAAAAGCACTTGTAGACGTGAAAAGCACAAAAAGTAAAGTAAGTAAGTCTAACCTTATCTCGCAGACGACAGTTTTAGACCATGGACCTCAGAAAAAATATTTTTTGAAGCCTCAACTTTGCTTAACCGGCATAACTATTGTACTTCTCTAATCGAGTTGTATTCACTTTTACTAGTACAAGTAGTAATGTAATTGCAGAGCTTATAACTCGCTCTCTTCAATAGTATTACCGAGTACGAATCGAACAAGCAACTGACATAAAAATAGAAACTGTTATAAGCAAATAGAGCTGTTATTCTGTCAAAATTTTTTGACAAAAGCGCCGAACTCAAACATAGCGAGCAAATAAATGACCAATCGAAGAGCGCTAACATCAGAATGCATAACAAAATAGAGAGCCATTCGATCGTATACCTAGCAAATGTGTACGCAGCAGATTTCGAATTTATAAATTAAGCTGAGTACTTTTGGAAACACTCACGTATAATTAAGACGAAACTAAACCAATTTGGAAAAATAGAAAAGAAATATTAAAAAAAAAACATTACTAAAACTTAAAATTTCAAAAAAAAAAGAAGAAATATTTATAATTATTTCCGAAACTGTGAATGGAAAAATGAAAATTTTAGAATTTTAAATAAAATTAAAAATATATAGCAATACAGTTTTTATAATCTTAAAGCGAAAATAAATCAAATTTCGTATTGTGAACACTGTAAAAGCTGTGTACTTTAAGAACCAGTCACGTATGATAACGACCAAGCTACACCCATTTAGAAACTTTTTAAAATTTAAAATAAAGAAATATTTGAAAATTTAAATTTTTAAAACTGCAAATTAAAAGAAATAAAAATTTTTAAATTTTAATTACAATAAAAATATTTTAAAATTAAGTTTTTAATTTTCAAAAACTGAACACTGAGAAATTTAAAATAGTTTTTATTTTTATTTAAAATTCGTATTTTTAACTACTACTGTATTACTAAGTAGCCTTGAGCAAACTTTTAAGCCAAACCAACTTTTTCAAAAGCAGCAAAAACTTTACTTTGCTTGATTAAAAATAATAACTTCAAAAATTAAAAGAAATTGGCAGAAAATAAATGCGAGAAATATGAAGTAACTTTTACTTTAAAACAATTTAGTGAAATAGTGAAACGTTAATAGCGCAAATTAAGTGCAGCAAACAGCATGAGCTTTTATTTCAATTCGATGTTCCAAGAAAGAGTCGA